GCCGAGACAACAGAAAAACAGACCTAGATTAAATCTCAGAAAAAAAATTCTTCTAATGTAGAATAGAAAAATAATACAACAAGCTGCCTAAGGAACTTGAGGGCTCCTCTACATGTCCAGAGAAACACACAATGGGATCTAATGCACAATCCACACAATTGCACCTCCTGCCCTGCTATCTCCTACCATGGCAAGAGGCATGACTGTAGGACTAGGCATTAAATCCCATCGCACCTTATTACTTGACCTTGCAAGATCACAGATGCTGCAATCTCCCAGCCTCGGGGGTACGTGAAACTCCAGAGACTGGGAGAGCACAGTTATGCCCTGAGACTGCCGGGAGCCAGCTGGATCCCTGGCACCAGAAGGCACACTGCAGGAAACCTGCCCTTGCAGCTGCAGGACTCTAGGTTCCAGCAGCTGCTGAATGTTGCCAGGACCCAGAGTCAGCAGCTGCTGGGGCTGGGAGTCCCCTCAGTTACAGGACTTCCAGCCCTGGCTGGGCATACTGCACCCCTGTAGCTGGGAGCACTGTCAGCTAATGGGGCACCCAGCCACAGGAGAGACCCCGCTACATGTGCAAATTAAAGCTCTGTGGCAGCCAGCTATATAGTTAGTACACCTTTTTGATATCTAACTTTATATATCTATTTGCCTACACATACATAGTATATTCCCAGGGATGGATTAATGCATAGGCCCAGGGGTCCTTGCCAATCAGGGGCTCCCTGGGATGCCAGGGACAGCACAGCCCATGAGCATCCTGGCTGTGGACATCTGGGTCAGGCAGTATGTGCCTCCTCCCCTCTGACTGGGCCAGGGCCAGGGGCCAGGTGTGGGTGCAGGGCTCCCTGCAGGCAGCACAGCTTTCCAGGGCCATCTGCTGCCAGGAGGCCCCGTGGGCAGCCCCCCTCCCGCTCCTCTGCCACTTGCAGGCAGCCACTGACACCAGTGCCACTGGGACAAGACAGGACAGTGCTGGCCAGCAGAGGGGTGGGCAGAGAAGTAGGCAGGCAGCCAGGAGGAAAGCTCATGGCCCCCATCACAAGCCAGCCCTGGCCCTGGCCTGTCCCACAGCACTGGGGGACCGCAGCTCTGGTTGCACGACACTCACTGGGCAAAAGGGCCAGGGCCACCTTCACCTCAATGGTGCTTGCACCCCCTGGCTAGCCCTGGATGCACTGAGGCAGCTGGGTGGACCTAGCTGCAGCCCCAGGAAGATGCAGAGAGAACCTGTGCTCACCTGGTGGGGGGCCTCCAATTTTCTCTTTGCCCAGGGCCCCCATAAATCTTAATATGCCACTGTATAGTCCCATAAATGACAATCTATATATCTATCTATCTATATATCTATATCAATCTATCTATATGTTTGCTTAAGCATACATAGTATATCCTCAGAGCTAACAATCTTTATAACTAGATCTGCTTAAAATATATATTCTCACAGATAACAATCTGTATATCAATATCAATCTCTCTGTTTAAGTGTAGATAGTATATCTGCAGAGATAATAATCTATCTATATCTAGCTATATATCTATTTGCTTGAGTGTACACAGAATATCCCCAGAGCTGACAGTCTACATATGCATATATCTTTATCTATTTGCTTAAACATATGTAGTATATCCTGACATCTATCTATCTCTCTATCTGTCCACTTAAGTGCACACAGTATACCCTTATAATTGACAGTCTATCTATATACCTAGCTATATATCTATTTGCATGGGTGTACATAAAATCTCCAGAGCTGAATATATAGATCTACAGCTGTCTCTATCTCTATATGTCTGCTTGAGCATAGGTAACATATTCTCACAGCTAACAATCTATATATCTGTATCTAGCTATATATATATTTGCTTGAGTGCACATAAAATATCCCGAGTTGACAATCTATATATCTTTATTTACTTAAGCATGTGTAGTATATCCCCATTGCTAGCTACCCATTGCTAGCCATCTGCTTAAATGCAACCTTATAGTTGACAATCTCTCTATATACCTATATATAAATATATATATAGTTACCTGAGAGTACACAGAATACCCGCAAAGCTGAAATACATAGATCTATATCTGTCTCTATTGCTAAATTTAGAGAGCAACAGAGATAGATGTAGATCTGTCTCTACCTCTCTCTAGGTAGAGGGGGGCCTTCCCAGATGTAGATCTGTCTCTATACATAGATGGTGGTAGTGGCAACCATCAATCCCCATGGATCATGGTATATGCGTGAGGGCCACCCAGACCTTCAATGCATAGGGCTGGGCAGGAATTTTTGGAGGAATGGAGGCTGCCCAGCCCTTCCATCCTCTCTTTAGGGTAGAGACAGAATCCAAAGACCAGACTGCGTCCAGATGTTTGGTGCCTCCATGACCGTAGATGTATATGCGTCTGGGAATCAAACCCAGATCTCTTGTGTGGTAAACAAGGACTCTACCACTGAACCACCCTATAAAGAAAGACAGAGACAGATGCAGATTCAAGTGACTAGATATATAGCTAGATATAGGTGTATAGAAAGCAGGGCCAGCCCGTCTTATCCTGTGAAACCTACCACCGCAGGGGGTCCCACAGCATCGGGCCACTTGCCACACACCCCACCCCACCCCGACCCCTGGGCCACCGCCACCAGCTTCTTTGTCAGGAAGCAGCAAAAAATGGTGGGCCGGTCCTGACATTGTTAGCTGAGGGAGATAAACTACCTACGCTTAAGCAACTAGTCTGCCTAAGTATAGGCAGCTTACCCCGCAGCTGACAATCCTTCCCTACACCTACATCTAGCCATGGATCCAGGAGCCTGAGGCTGCACAGGCTATTCCCCCCTCCCCGCGCCTCCCTGAGTGCGGGCGCTGAGGGGCCCGGGCGGCGGCGGCACAGAGCGGCGTTTCCCCGCGCGCCCGGCCAGCGCCATC